TTTTTAAAACGTCCAGTATTCACATTTGTCAGTGGTGACTTCAAATTCACCTATGCGTCAAACATATATGATTATCATTTATATTGATAATTACAGTTTAATGTCATTAGAAATGTTGAACTTTAGTCTATTATATTGCATGGATAATTTTGGAAAACGCCCTTATGTTTTAATGTTCTTAAGCTAGATTTTTTGGACTATAATTTCAATGAAAATGTTGTCCAATTACTTTCCTTATGGTTTCAACAGATTAGAGCTAAGAGATGAATGGAGATTAGAGAATCGTAAAGCATTTGCCAACATATGGTCAGATATGATATTCGGGGTCTCATTATTCATTCTTTTATACTGCAATCAGAGTAAAGTGAGTTACCATTGCTCTATTTCCTTAGTATACCTTCATGTATGATTTATTTATTTATTTTTATTTTTTTGTTACCTATGATAGTAGAAAACATTGCTTAAAATGAATGTCTTCGGAACGCTTTACAGTTAACAACCATTGTCATCATCCGTCAGACAAAAATAGTTAGTATGAGCAGCAATTGCATTATTAGCTATGATTGTCATTGTCAATACTATATTTTTTTACTTTGCCCTTTCCAATTTGTCATATGTGTGGTTAAGGGTGATAAATATGCACCCTTATTATTTGCTGAATACTCGTCGACAAAATTATGCAATTATGACACCTTTTGTCTGCTCAGAATTTTCACAGCAGTCAATATCAAAGTAAAGATTGACTATATATATATAGGTGAAGACTATAAAACATTTGACATCTAGATGGTGAGATAAGAAACAGTACACATCAGATCTAAGTAGTTGAATTCAAGCTGATGTGTATTGTTTTTTATGTCACACAAAAATAGTAGTATGACAATGAAATTATAGCTTAACCTCGTGAAATACCTATTAAGATTCACTATGTAGCTAGTTTCTCAAGAAACATAGCAATCTTGGATTCATATAGAATATTTTTGTTTCTGCTTTAAAAATTTTGTATGAAGATTAGCTTTAGCTTTAAACTTCTGCACTCAACTCTTGTTAAATTGATTGTATTTTATTTTCTTTAATTCTTTCCTTGCTTTTGCAGGTAGCTTTGCTGAAATTTACAGGATATAAGATAATAAATAATATTTCAGATACCGGGAAGGCATTTCTTATTATACTTATCACAGATATTTTTTTAGGGTAATACTATCTGCGCTTTACTACTGTGGTTTTTCCAGTTTACCATGCAGAGTTTATGAAAATTGACTTACTATGAAATCTATAAAGTAAAGGCACATGTGAAATGATTTGATGCTAATATAGACACATGCACAATTTTTCTCTGGCCAGATATCCTAGCATGTTATGTTTGTTAGGCTGTCAATATGGACTACAGATTAGGTGGGCTTTTGTTAAATTGTGTAGTCCAGATTCAGTCTGGCAACATGACTTTTCCAGTTATATGGTAACAGAATATTACTGCGTATATATACACACACATGATATATGGATAGTGCCTTTCTCAGTGCAGCACATCGAGTTTTTAGGTAAAGACTGGACATGTAATGCAGCCCTTGAATTGATCTTGTGGCTGACTGAGTTGCTCTTAGAGTCAAACACCAAAATTGGTTCCAGCTGTAAAGATCAAGAGAGAGAAAGGCTGAAAATTCCCTTCCAGCTTCTGACAATCAAAAGCGCTTCTAACAACGTTTGACAGAAAAGTTTAGAAGCGCTTTTGGGCCATATAAGCGCTTTCTGAAGAAGCATCTGTCATGTGCTTCTTCAAGAAGCACTCCTAAGTGCTTTTCCAAGAAGCACTTCGGTTTCTTATGAAAATTTCAATGTCTTTATAATAAAAGCGCTTTTGGTATAAGCGCTTATAAGTAAAAGTGCTTCTTATAGAAGTAGTCCCAAATGAGCCTTTAGTATGCACAGCTGCAATGGGATAACTTAAATAGTGCGGCTGCTAGTGAGGGGGCCCTACTTATATATTGTGTCAATTAGGTTTCCCACCATTAAGGAAAAACTTAATACCAACACAAATAGGAACAATTCAAGCCCAATACTAAGAACCCACCATATAGTAGATATTGGGCCCACATATTATATAGTTATCAATCACATTAAGTTTCCCATTAATATATAATGGACCAACGGGTAGCACATAACAGGCCCATATACTAATGTATGGAGCCCGAAAGTTTTTACATTCTCCTACACATGTGAACAACATTAGCTAACAATGAATACATTAATTGTGCACCAAGAAAGATAATTAAGTTACAAGTTCTTAAAACAAGTTTCTTGTCAAATATGATCAACACATAGGACCAATAAAAGGAGTATGCATATTAGTCACCCACATTCCAAAAGGCCACTGCTATCCAACCATACCAACATAAATTCAGGCATTAGGGGACTAACAATACATGTTAGTATAATAAGTACGAACCCGCACTCCACCAAGTAACCTGTATTAGGTCCTTCGAGAGATTTCCTCATATGCAATATGTCCTACCATGAGCTGCTTGATTGATAAACATGACACCTAACCAGGTAGGTGATAATGATGGAGTTTTCATATAAACTTCGAGCATTTCAGAACTAAAACACATAGGTAATTGGAGTTGGCTTTTGACCATATTATAATATACTTATAAGCATATACTTAAATCATAAAATTGTAAAATTGAAATAAAAACTCAATGAAACTTAGCATATAACACATTCAAACGACAATTACGCAAATAGAATGCACAAGAAATATAGTAGTAGTCATGTCCCATAGCTCGTAAAACCTAGGTCATTACACTGACCCACTATCTGCCTTTCTTTCTCTTCCCTCTCCTTCTGGTTTTTTACTTTAAAAAAATGATTTTTCAAAATTTTAAACATTTTTATGGTTTTTAAGTTTTAAATAAATTAACATTTTTATTTAAAGTTACATATCTTTATATCATTGGATGTGTGGGCTCCGCATATGTGTCACGTCAGCAATTCAACAAAAAACTTAACGCAGACTAACGTCATGACTAAATTGATGTACATAGAGTTATGTTGCACTAATACTCATAATCCGATACTCTTATCAATACTCCAATACTCTTGTCGATACTCCTATACTCGTATTAGATATGTCGATACTTGTATCGGATATGCTGATACTCCTACTATTTTTCGATAATGTTAATTTTAAAGGCCCAACCTCTTATTCTTGATAGAAGTTAGGTCTTCATTTCATTTGGGGGAGAATAACTAGAAAAGAGGAAGAAATAGGAAGAAGGAATAAGAAGCTATCATATTTACCTATGATGACAATGATGAATGAAGTTAGAGATTTGGAAAGTGGCTTCTGAATGTTTTAATTTGTTTTGTGTTGCTTCCTTTAGTATTATTTATGATTTGAACAATCTCATGAAGACTTGTGTTTTGTTTATGGAGACTTGTATTTTGTGTTTAGTTTTATGTTTTCAACTTATGATGGATGCAATATTAATTTTTAAATATATGTTATTTTAATCACCGTATCAGTGCCGTACCCATATCCTAATTTTTGGAATTTCACTCTATTAGTGAATCGTATCGTATCGACGTATCCGTGCAACATAGACATAGAGTAACCTCAAGGACAACCATGTCACAATAAAAAAAAGGATGAAAGGTTATAATTTTGTGAACATAAAGGACCATTTGTGATGAAAAAGTTATTGTTTTGGGTAAATTTCATTTTACTACTCGGAAATTTCCCGAAATTCAGACTTTGCTGCATGAAGTATTTTTCGTTTGTCTCATGCCTAAACTTTAATTTTACTACCACTTTCATATCTATGCTAGTTTGACTGTCAAGTTTTCTATTAAACGATGACGTGGCATTTATAGGTCCACGTTGACCCACTGAATTTGTGCCACATGGACCACTAAACAATTAAAATTTTGTATTATTTTATAAATAATTAAAATTAATAAAGTTAAAATTTTAAAATCAAATGTATAAAAAATAAAATTATAAGAAGTAACAAAAAAAAACAAAAAACAAAAAACAAAAACAAGAACACTTCTCTTAGTGTCATGTCATGTATCATGTGAAAACAATGAGAAGAAACTGTTGCGCACCCAATGCCTTCAAGTTTTCCAGGCCTACAATTGGGTATTGATCCCCATTTAGAGCCTGGTGATAAAAAAAAGTTTGATGTGGCAAGCATATTAGTGCTTCTCTCTTTGAGATTCATGGAGATGACTGCAGTTTCTTTTATATTTCATTCTTTGGACCTAATAACTGTATGGATTCATTTTCTCTGTGTGGCACTAGTCCTTATGGAATTAGTTCTGTAAATCTCTGTTCCCATCTCTTCCTGTTGAAACAGTAGGAGTTTTCATGCCAGCCCGAGAAATAAGCTGACTTTTAGGGCTTGTTTGATAGGGAGACTAGACTAGCAAAATGCCTATATTTCATGTGCATTCAAGGCATAATATTGATATGTTGCCTAACTTTGGAGGAAGAATGGGGCCTATCTATAAGAGGTTGATGATTAAAACTTGTCCCCCCTAATCCCCTTGAAAATGGTGGGATTATGAGGGATAAGTTTAGTCATCAACCTCTTATGAATAGTCCTTCTTCATCCTCCAAGTTAGACAACAATGTCCATATTATGTGTTGATTGCGCACATAAAGTGTAGGCATTTTGCTAGTCTAGTCTAGTCCTCCCTAACGAACGAGGCCTTATGTTCTTTTTTTTTGAAACTATAGGTACTTACAAGTAACTTGTTGCCTGTGCTTAAACTATTTTATATTCGCCCTTTAGTTATGTCAGTCCTCTTAGAGTTTGTTGGTTACAACAGGTTAATGCTAGTGGACAGTTTTGCGGGGTAGCCGAAATGGTTGGATCTGTAGATTTTGAGAAGGATGCTGATTACTGGCAGCAAGATAGGTGGAGTGGGCAATTTCCAGTTCAGTGGCATATTATTAATTAAGGATGTTCCTAACATTCGGTTTCGTCACATTCTACTTAAAAATAATGATAATAAGCGGACTTTTTGTGAGGAAAAAGGCGTACGGGGAGGCCCTTGGCCGGCATGGGGAGAGGGTCAACGACGATCTTCTCATCGGGAATAATCTTCTCCCACTTGAACCTCTTGACCAAGTTGTGCATGAACACTAGAATTTCCAGGCGGGCATACTCTTTGCCTGGGCACATCCTGGGGCCTCCTCCAAAGGGCACAAAGGTATAGGGTGCTGGCCCATTTCCTTCGAATCTTGTTGGGTCGAATTTAAATGGCTCCGGGAAGTAATCTGCGTTCTTGTGTGTTGAGTTTGCGCTCCAATATAACTGCACCAACCATCATGTTGATGTTCATGTCATTAATTAAGTCAATTAAACATTATTAATACAAACAATTAAGTTAATATGATATAATAGAATGCGTACCTTCCAGCCCTTTGGAATGGTGAAACCATTGAAGACAAAGTCAGCCAAGGCTTCCCTGAAAGCTCCTTGAAGAGGTGGTGCCAATCTCAGCACTTCTTGGGCTACGTTCCATGAGTATTTCATCTTCTGTAGGTCATCCCAGTTCAACAACTCCCCTGGGGCTTTGCAACTCAGGATCTCCATTTGCTCTGTTAATCATTTCAAATTAATTACATAACATTGTTAGTTAATAATTAATTAATTTAAATAAACCCCCAAATTTAAAAAGGTTAAATATGTAATTGCAAGAGAAGCAGGTAGGCAGCTGATCTTATTTGACTATTTATATAAAAATCTCTTTTGCCGACCCAAGGAAGGCTACAACTAGTGTGTGTGTGTGTGTGTGGGTGAGAGAGAGAGAGAGAGAGAGAGAGAGAGAGAGAGAGCAGTTCCCACTTCATTAATTGATCACAGGAAAAATGAAAGCTTAGATCTGCAAAGGTCAATAGGCCTTAAGATTTGGTACAAAGAGCATAATAATTTATTTAGTAAATTGAGCTTAGACTCATAAAATTCATTTTAAATCACCTATAACCCTTTTCTTTAGTTTTCTATGTAAAATACCCAATTTTTTCAAATAATACCCGATGACTAGGATCCAACTAAGCAAGTTACCTAATATAACTTAAAATATGATTTATTGTATTTTTCGGATTCCAAAACTACCCCTATTTATAAGTTAATGTGTTATGGGAGGTGTAACTAATAACACTCGTTGAATTTGGAAATATCTCCAAATAACTATAATGGATGTAAGAACTAATTTAGAAACTTATTTGAAATTAAATATTAAATTCCACATTAAAGTATTAGCAATCTATTTTTGAATTAATGGTGTTTTCATTCTATGAATTACGACTAGTAATCTATTTAAAGTATTAATAATTTAAATTCAATATTAAATTTAGAAATTAATATTGTTTTCTTTTATGAATTATACGACCAGTATTCATTTTTATTATAATTTTATTAATAATAGTGTACATTTTAATTATGTTGAAAAATAATTTGATAATCTATTTATTATTATTTTTAAACATTTTTTTTAATGAACCTATTTTTTCTCCAAATATTGTACCTTTTTTTTTCTTTATTACTTGTTTTACAAAAAATAATTTGATCATCTTTTTATTGTTTGTTTTATGAAAACAATTTTTTTTAAATGAGCCTATTTTTTCTCTCAAAATAATGTACCTATTTTATTTTCTCTAATAATGTACCTTTTTTTTTTCCTAAATAATGTACCTTTTTTTTCTCTCAAAATAATGTACCTATTTTTTCCCCTAAACAATTTACCTGGTATAGTGAACCTATTTTTTTCACTCTAAATAATGTACCTTTTTTTTCTCTAATAATGTGTACCTAGTAAAACAATTTACCTAGTATAATGAACTTTTTTTTTCTTCTAAGTAATGTACCTATTTTTAATTTATAAAAAAGTGCATAAATTTCAATTATACAACGTACTTATTTTCTATAAATTATTGTGTACCTATTTTTAATTCATGAAAAATGTATGGAAATTTCAATTACAAAGTAATTGACCTATTTTTGTTAATTTTTTTTGGTAAATAATATACCTATATTTTTATACGTATATATTTATATTTATATTTTTCATATGTACATTATTGGATATGTAATTTAAATTTTTTTATTTATTTGCAATTTTAAGGGGCCATATGTTAGAGGGAATGGCAACCAAAATAAATGGGGTGATTGAGATGCTATTAATAGGGAGTTTTAATTACAATTATGGCAATTAATGAAATGCTTTGAATAAATTATAAATAAAATATGAAGTCTGATGGCAAGGATGTAAAAACATAGGAACACTACGACCTCTTATATCCTATTGGTCATTTAAGTTTGAAATTGGGTTTTACACATAGATTTATAGAATTATGGGTATATGTCTAGGAAATAGAAATTGTAGGGACCTATATTGGACAAGCCCTAATTTATTTCGAGTTGTAATTACTATATGGAAAGAAGTAATTGGAAATTAATGAAAGAAAATGATCGGCATATATGATACGTACCCTTGTAGACCTCATCGTAAATATGAGGAAGCTCAGCAAGATACTTGACAATGAAAGTGCAGGTAGCGCTGGCCGTGTCATGCCCACCAATCAACAACCCCAAAATCTTATCGGCAATATCGTGTTCCTTCATGTGACTTCCATGCTCATCGCACAACAACATATGTGACAATATGTCTTGTGTTGGGGACGCCTTGCCCTCAGCCAGATCAACCTTCCTCTGCTTGATGATCTTTGTCAGCTCCTCTCTGATGAAGTTGGACGCCTTGATGGCTTTGTAGAACGGAGTTCCGGGGAAGTCCAGAGGCATCGATATGATCCCGGAGGCCAACAAGGCGAATGGATCCCCTAGCCTTGCTATCTCCGTTGCGTCCTCAAGGCTAACAAACAACCGTGCAGCAAGCCAAAAGGTGTAGCTGTTGAAACGCACATCATCAATTACACATACAGTAATTAAAATCAATGTAGACCCGCTCTATTACTTACTAATACTATAATCATTCATTCTTGACATGTTATGTTATCAGACTGGTGATTTGAATCACATTGTTAATCTATATTCTCGGTTAATATCTATCAGTGATCTAAATTGCTAATTTATAAAGAAAAAAAAAAGTAACATGCATGTCATATTGTTAAATAAAATACTTACTTCTTGGCAAGGGGGAAGACTTCAACTTCCTTCCTGTTTTCCCAACCATCAGCAAAGTGCCTCTGGGCAACAGTGTCCATGATCCCGATGTATCGTTGGAGAGCCTCAGGCTTCATGAAGTTGGGGAGCATCTTTCTCATCTTCTTGGCCTCCTCTTTGGCCGAAGTCTCTTGGGAAGAAGGGAAGACCTTGTTGACAGAGCTAGGCCACCATGCAGTGACAAGCTTGTTTTCATTGGAAAACAAGAACTTGTTGCAGGCAGCGCCGCAGAAGATGGCCGCCTTCTCGCCGAAGATGGAGGTCTTGAAGACGTCAGATGAGTACTTGGTCATGCGGTCAAAGATGAACTTCTCAGGGTGCCCTTTCCATCCTGAGGCCAAGAACTCATAGCTCTCACCAATCACAGGGTAGCCAACTTTGCCAGGCGGGAGGTTGTTTTCGGTGAACTGAGCTCTGTGGCGGTAGAAGAGCGCAAAGAGAGAAAAAGAGATGAAGGAGACAAAACCCAAGAGGAGGGTGAGATAGAAATGCTCCATGATTAATTAAACTGTTGTGATCAGTGTTTGATGAAGAGTGAGAAAGGAGCTTTGTGTTTTGTGTGGGATGAGTGAGGAACGTGCCTTTGAGTCTGTTTGAATGGTTTGAAGGAAGTGGATGTGATATGAGTCGTTTTTATAGGCGCTTTGTTTGTCATGTGTGAGTGGAGGCTTTCCCTTTGGGGGGTTGGGTGACTTTTGGGAGAAGAGGGTGGCAATATCAAAGTCAAATTAAGCTCGTTCTCACTTTTGTTGAATTTGGTTTGGGTGAGCTAGGCAGCATGAAAGTGACGTCATACTGGCCATTATTATTATTTCTTTTTATAGTAAATTTGGCTTACACCCTTCAAATTCAATTTGCCGTACCTAAAACCCTTCACTTTTTATTCCTATAAATAATACCCAATTTGTATAAGTAAAAACCCATGACTAGGATCCAGCTCAGCAAGTTACCTAATTAAACATAAAATCTGATTTATTGTACTTTTCAGATTCCAAAAATACCCCCAACTAAGCCATTATTGCATTTTGCATATTAATGTAGGAATCAATATGGAAACAGTTTTTAATTAGATTATATATAATGACAGATGTTGAATTTGGAAAGATATCCAAATGGTTGTAATGGATGTAGGAATTAATTTTGAAACATTTTTGAAAAAATTTAACAATAAATTCAAATTTGGGTAATCGTTTGTTTAATAAAATGTTTATGTTATTTTCTTTTTATGAATTATACATGACTAATAATCCACTTTATAATTGTTTATGAATAAAACTGTACATACTAATTATGTTGAAAAAATAATGTACCTATTACTTGTTTGTTTTATGAAAAATATAATTTACCTAGTATGAAAAGTGTACATAATTATCTATTCCAATATACCTACATTATACGACATCCAATATACCTACATTAATTTTAATGTACTTACAATTAGGATTTAGGTATTATATGTCATCCAATGTACCTACCATTTGAATAATATACCTACTACGAATAAAGTACCTATTATTTATCTAAAAAAATGTACCTATTTTTCCTCTCCAAATAATGTACCTATACACATTTACAAGTATATTGTAAAATAATTTACCTGTGGGTAAATAATGTACCTATATATTTTTTATAAATTATTGTGTACCTATTTTTAATTATGAAAAATATACGCAATTACAAAGTAACTTTGTTTTTTTTTTTTTTTTTTTTTTTTTTTGTTTTAAATAATATACCTATATTTTATATGTATATATTTATATTATATTTTTCATATGTACATTATTGGATATGTAATTTATAGAATTTTTTTTGTTTGCAATTTTAGGGGGCGAGATGTGAGAGGGAGTGCCAACTAAAAGAAATGGGGTGATTGATATGCTATTAATAGGGAGTATATTAATTACAATTATGGCAGTTAATGAAATGCTTGAAATAAATTAGAAATAAAATATGAAGTTTAGTGGCAACGATGTAAAAACATAGAAATACTACGACCTCTTATATTCTACTGGTCATTTAAATTTGAAATTGGGTTTTACACATAGATTTATAGAGTGATGGGTATATGTCTAGAAAATAGAAAATGTATGGATCTATATTGGACAAGCCCTTGTTTTTATTTTTCATGTGTCAACAAGTCCACTCCCAAATCCCAATTGCACATCCAAGGCGGGTCCAATCAAAATTTACAAATTTAATATGTCAACTTGTTGTTTCATTTTTTTTACACAAAACAAGTAGGAGAATCAAATTTAATATGTCAACTTGGTGTTCTACATATTTATTATCTTTTCTAGTACGTTTATATTCTTTTCTTTTGAGTTTCTTTATTTTTTTAACTGACTAAATATACACGCTCATTTTATGTTAACATTGTATTGGCATAGGTGGTACTCTTTCCTACCCCGGGGTTTTTCCCTTGTGGTTTTCTCCGGGAAGGTTTTAACGAGGCCACACTTTACATGCCTATTATTCCTGGAATGAAATCAAAAAATTCAAAAAAAAAAAAAAAACAAAAAAAAAATTGTTTAGAGAGAAGAAGTAAGCCATAAATGGTGGGATGGGAGCAAGGAATGAAGAGGAGGCGAGTTTAGGGTTTAGGAGAAGTCGAGGGAGGGGGTTTCGGAGGAAGATGAATACAACCCATTAGGGTTTAGGAATAAGTTTCAGAGACTTTTTGAGTTTTCTGTGTAGTTTTCACCTCTTCTTTTGTGAAATTTTTTCACATCTTCTTTGTGAGAGCTTTACACCTCTACTTTGTGAGAGTTTTATTTGTATTGTTATGGCTCGGTTTTTTTTTAGCTTTATCTTTTATCTTTTTTTGTTTTTGTTTTTGTTTTGAGTTTGCACTCTTAGTTGGGATGTCTTAGTTTGGTACCTTCGAATATTTGAACGAGGAGAAACATGTTTTGCACTTTTTACAATTGACTCTGACTAAAAACTTTTGATCAAGTAAATCATCTTGAAATTTTGAGATGCATAATACAATAGATAGAATTTCATTTTTTATAGTACTATAATTACTTTGTGATTGAGTCCAGATGCCAGAATGGAAACGAACAAGTTGTTCTGGTTGATATGGAGAAACTCTTTGTTTAAGAATGCCTCCGTAACCAATTTCGGAGGCGTCGGTTTCGATGATTTTGAAAGAGTTGACTGAAGGAATGCCAAGGCAAGGAAGGGTTTGGACATGGATTTTAATTTGTTTGACTATATCTGTATGATTAGGAGTCCAAGGAGGAGGATTACTTTGTAGCCTATCGAACAAGGGTTTACATTGGGTTATTAGATTATGATAAAAGTCAGAAACATAGTTAAGAGATCCTAGAAATCTTTGGAGTTCACTCTTATCAAGGATTTGATATGGGAATTTACTAGCAAATTGAACGACCCGATCTATTGGACTAATTTGTGACTGATAAATATTGAATCCAAGGAATCTAATATTGGTTTGCAATTGTTTAACTTTTTAGCAGAGACAACAAGACCATTGTGTTTGACTACCTGAAGAAACTTCTTGTCAATCAAGTCCGAAATCCTTGGGCTTTTAAGGAGGGAGAAGGGGTGGATTTGGTAGAGGACGTCGATAAGAAACTTTTGGGACCAATTTCACCTGAAATGTCCGCCGGAAGGCGACACAGTAGCCATTCAAAATCCGGCATCACGCAGAGAGAGAGAGAGAGAGAGAGAGAGAGAGAGAGAGAGAAGAGAGAAATGAGAAAGAAAGAGAGATGCATATATATATATATATGATAATTAGAGTACATCCAACATATAGAGTACGTCTGAAAATGATAATGATACAATATAAAGAATTGGCCGAAATCTAGGTATATATGAGGGGATCTATAACCAGGAGGGGATATGCAGGAGACATAGAATTAATGACATAAAATTAATGCGTATGAAAATTAATGCATATAAAAATAGCGGTGTATAAAATTAATGAATTTTACCGAAAATAAGAAATTGCTGACTTACAGAAAATCTTGAGATTTTACTTATGCATAACACTCATATCTTACAAGTGTTCTTCAGAGAGATATTTCTGAAAAAACTTTGAAACTGATAAACTAAAAATTACATTTTAACTGCAACTGAGGCAGAAGCCTCTTATTTAAAGAGCCGAACTAAGGAAGTGTCGGCAACATTGGATGCTTTCGTTTACTGTGGAAGCACAAGTCTTCTACTTTTGCTTTAATTGTAGACGCATGGTGCTTTTAGAATATTATCCTCGCTTTTGTCTTGTCTTTACTTTTGCTTTCATTATTACTTGTCGTGGAATATTGACTATAGTGTTCTGCTTACTCTGCCTTTGATGACTTTTGCTTCTGATATGTCAGCGGCATGATTAGTCTTCATTGAGATCATACAGGTCTTGACTATCAGTGTAATCTGCCCATATGAACTTTTGAGTTGATTCTTTGTGACTGGAAGATGATGCTTGAGAGGAAGGAGAACGAGGAGAAGCATCTTCATCGTTGTCCATTTAAGAGGCTTGAATCATTAATTCTTGAGCTAATTCTTTGATTTCTGATTTTGATCTTCCTTCGATTGGGAGGGAAGAGTGAGAGGTGCCCGAGGTTGAAGGCTTCTCAGGGACTTTGACTGTGGGAAATTCTACGTTGACCTGATCAATAATTCTTTCTCACTTAAACTTATCCCACCATTTTACTGAGATTTGTCTGGAAAGGATCCTTGACTCCCAATTGACTTGATAAGACCACTTAAGAATCCGCGAAACTTTGTATTTAGCGACAAAAACTAAAAGACTTGGGAAGAAAGTATCTTCATTTTTGAAATTGTATTTTGTGGAACAATAAGCAACTGAATTATGGAGGTCAGTGGGAAGAATATCCATGACTGGACCGTGTTTTTCCCACCAAGAAAGAAATCAAAATGGAAAGGGGCTTCAGAATTTACTGTCAAAATTTACAAACCAGGAATGACTGAAATCTTCGGTTTGATGTAGGAAAATGGTATCCCAGGCTTTGATATAATCATAGTAATTGTACTGAATGGTTGATTTAAGGGTTTTTAGTGAATAAGGGTGGTTGCCCCATTCAAATTGACTAATGATCTTGTGGATGTACATGGAATGGTAGAGGATAACTTCTGGGTTATTTCTATCTTTAATGGGGCGGATTTCAAGGGTTTGGTTTCGAGAAGTATGTCTCTATAGTATTTAAGTGATTTTGACTAGTGTTGAGGGATGAAGTGGAAATTAGGAGGGAAATAAGCTTTTGCAATTTTAGCGGGACTGGAGAGATTATTGTAACATGACTCGATGATGAAGAGTTTGTCAGTAAACTTGGGGACATAGGGAGAGGATTTTCTGTGGCTTATAGCTGACTAAGTTGACGGAGGGGTTGAGACCTGAAAGGGGTCATAACTGGATACTAGGGCTGACTAATAATTAGGGCGGATATGGATGACTATGGAACCTAGACTGGTAAATCTGTTACTCATCTGGATAGGAGAATATCCAGGGAAAGGG